CTTCTGTTAGTTCCTTTGTCTCTTTGTTAAGTTTCTGTCTGGTGGTCCTGTCCAGTGGTGACAGTGGGGTGTTGAAGTCTCCCACTATAACTCTGTGACGTCTTATTTGCGATTTGAGTTTTAATAATGTTTCTTTTATGAACGTTAGTGCCTTTGTATTTGGGGCATAGATGTTTAGAATTGAGATTTCTTCCTGATGGATTTTGCCTGTGATGAATATGAAATGCCCTTCTTCATCTCTTTTGATTGATTTTAGTTTGAAGTCTAATTTGTTAGATACTAGGATAGCTACCCCAGCTCGTTTCTTCGGTCCATTTGATTGGAAAATCTTATCCCAACCCTTTACTGTAAGGTAATGTCTGTCTTTGAATTCAGTCTTAGTGAAAAAATCAATATTAAAAATCAAGCACCTTGGTATAGAAGAAGAAGAAGCCTACTTTGAAGGTACAGAAAACATACTCAACAAAATCATATGAGACCATTAATATTGAGGGAAATTAAGGTCCATTGAGTGCTTATTCTTGTTTGTTTTTGATTTGTTGTTGGTAGTGGAATTGTATGTGGATTTACCCTTCTTTTTCTTTGGGGTTTTGGTAAAGTGGGATTATCTATTGCCTATGTTTTTGAGGGTGTAGTTAATTTCCTTAGGTTGGAGTTTTCCTTCCAGTACTGTTGTCTGTAGGGCTGGATTAGTGTTTACATATTGTTTAAATCTGGTTTTGTTGTGGAATATCTTGCTTTCTCCATTTATAGTGATAGAAAGCTTTGCTGGGTATAGTAGTCTGGACTGACATCTGGGGTCTCTTACTGTTGGTAGAATATCTATCCAGGTCCTTCTGGCTTTCAGAGTTTCCATGGAGAAGTCTGGTGTAATTCTGATAGGTTTGCCTTTATATGTTACTTGACCTTTTTCCTTTGCTGCTCTTAATATTTTTGCTTTATTCTATATGTTTGGAGTTTTGATTATTATGTGGTGAGGAGACTTTTTTTTGTCCAATCTATTTGGTGTTCTGTAGGCTTCTTGTACTTTCATTGGCATGTCTTTCTTTAGGTTGGGAAAGTTTTCTTCTATGATTTTGTTGAATATGTTTCCTGCACCTTTGAGTTGGGTTTCTTCACCTTCTTCTATACCTATTATCCTTAGGTTTGGTCTTTTCACGGTGTCCCATATTTCCTGCATATTTTGTGTTAAAGATTTGTTGGACTTAAGATTTTCTTTGCTTGATGAATTTATTTCCTCTAGTTTATCTTCAGCATCTGACATTCTGTCTTCCATCTCTTGTATTCTGTTGGTTATGCTTGCATCTGTGGTTCCTGATTGTTTACTCAGCTTTTCCACCTCCAGCATTCCCTCAGTTTGTGTTTTCTTTATTGTCTCTATTTTAGTTTTCGGGTTTTGAACAAGCTGTTTAATTGTATTTTCTTGGCTTTCCTTGATTTCTTGCATCTTTTGGGTTGTCTTTTCTTCCATTTCTCTGAAAGATTTTCTCATTTTCTCTGCATGAAATTGTTTTTAAGGTTGCTCTCTTCTGTTTCATCTGTGTTGGGATGTTCAGGTCTTGCTGGCATAGAGTCCCTAGACTCTGGTGGTGTCATGTTGGTTTTCCTGTTGTTGAATGTGTTCTTATATTGTCATCTTCCCATCTATTCTTCCAGTGGTTGTAGGTGGTGTCTCTTCCTTTCCTGGTGTATATGGGTTCAAGGTTCTCTTCCAGTGGGTGCAATTGGCTCCGATACTCTGATGGGTCTCAAGGTGGATGCAGGCGGGTTCTAGGCACTCCCTCTCCAGGTGGGTGAGAGTGGGACTAGGGCAGAGATGTCAGCAGACTCTAGGTTGCTTGGTCCTCAGGAGCCAAGTCGGTCTGCCTGCAGACCCCAGGACAGGATTTCCCAGAGTCGACAAGCGGAAGTTGGGCCCAAGGCAAGGGCCGAAGCAGATCACCTCTGCCCTGTGTGGGGGTAGAAGTCCTGTCATTTCTGCTCTTGCCCTATTGCCCTGGCTAGGACCACCAGAGTCACACTAAAATGGTGAGCAGACATCATGGTTTTGCTTTGGGTCACAGGGGGAGAGCATTCATGCTGGCTGTGGTTGGAGTTTTGTTTGGATTTCTCATAGGTACCTTTCTCAGGTGAAAAACAATCCTTCAGTTCCTAATATGCTGAGAGTTCTTACTGTAGCTTTCCATTGATTTTGTACACATGCTTTGCTGCCTGAAATGCTCCTTTTTAATTTTCTTATTCTGTTAATACATAGAATTTCATTTAGTTATTTAGTTCATTTTGGTTAGAAAGATGATTGATAGATAGATAGATAGATAGATAGATAGATAGATAGATAGACAGACAGACATATAGGTAGATAGAATAGAGTCAAATGAGGCTGGAGAGATGGCTCAGAGGTCAAGAGCATTGGCTGCTCTTCCAAAAGTCCTAATTTCAATTCCCAGCAACCACATGGTGGCTCACAACCATATGTAATAAGATCTGGTGCAAATGAGTGTTAGAAAAAAAAAGAATAGAGTCAAATGTAGCCCCTCTCAGCCTCAAACTCACTATTTAGTAGATAGGCCTTGAACTCCTGACTCTCATGCCTCTCCCTCCCATGTGTCAGAATCACAGTCCTGTGCCACCACACCTGGAACATTGATTTTGTTTTTCTTTTTGTCATTCTTAAGGTCCAATAAGTCCTAACCAGGTCTGTTCTTATGAAACTAAATCCATGGGTAGTTTGCGTTGCTGCTGCTGTTGTCATTGTTTCAACTTGACTTTCACTCTTTCTGTTTCTTGTTCCTTCATTGGCTCTTGGTTCATTAACTGGAAGACTCCATAAGAAAAATTCTGTTTCCCTTTCCTCCAGTCTTCTGTGAGCCAAGGACACCATTTATGAACTAAGACCTTCTATAAAGAGCATTTGCAGTAGAGGAGTACAAGCCAAATCTACAGATTAATCTGAGGTAAAATTGCCTTTTTCTTGAGATTGATGTTCTCATATTGATGCTTTCAGATAAAAAGCTCCAAGGAAAATATCTCAGAATCATCTCCCCTGTGTCTCCTGTTAAGCTTTACTGCTCCTGTATAATGAACGTGGTTCTTACTGTAGCTGTAATTGCACTTTATGTTACTTTGTCAGGTAAGTGACTCATTCTCCAAATTCTACAGCATTCTGTTCATAGTGATATTGTCAGTTATACTTATATACTTATACTGTGAGAAAGGACTCACTCTAGGAAGGCTCTAGAGAAAGTACACCGGAAACTCTTGTTCTCTGTGAGCTTGGGATCTAACTGGAAGATGCAGAAAAGGAACAGCACGAGCTGTGGTGTGAACAAGAGGTCAGGCTCAGCATTCCTGGGAAGATGACATTCGGTGCCCTCTAGAGCAGTGGTTCTCAACCTTTCTAATGCTGTGGCCATTTAATACAGTTCCACATGTTGTGGTAACCCCCAATCATAAAATTATTTTCATTGCTACTTCAGAACTGTAATTTTGCTACTGTTATAAATCATAATGTAAATATCTGATATTTCCAATGGTCTAGACATTTCCACCTGGGCTATGTATTCAAGGAAGAGAACAAAGAGAGGAAAACTGGAACAGAGACTCAACAAAAAGACTGCTGCAGTTAGAGGGAAATGAGAACAGTGAAGACTAACATGGTTGGGAAAGGTATAGAACTCCACCCCCAAGTCTTCAAGACTCATGGTTTCAATTAATGTCTTCAACCACTCTCTGAAAATATTAACAAGTCTTGGTCAGTGTAACCTAAATTATTTTGTAACTCAGGAAAGAGTCAGACAAACAGAAGTGACAGTCACTCTCACTGACTGTTGCATTTGTCCTTCCCACAGAAGCCTCGTAGTCCTAGATCTGAGAACTGAGAACAACTACAAAATATTCCCCTCCACTAATGGTGGGGGTCATAATATTTCTTATTAAGTCACATGTTTCCTGGAACACACTAGGTCTTTGAAAGGGCAACACATCAGTTCTTACCAGTAAGAAAAAGGCAAAGGTATAAAAGAATATCTGTTGTTCATCTAAGCTGTCCTCTGGAACCATTCAGAGCTCACACACACACACACACACACACACACACACACACACACCACATATCCATTCATGTACATACACATATAATCATTTTATTATAATATACTCATTAACAGTCACTCAAACACTTGTCAAGTTCCAGACTCTGGTATCTCACCTAACTTCCATACGCATAGGATAGCCACTCAGAAGTGGTGGAGCTTTGGTTATGGTTTTAGACTTTATGTCAGTTAAATGAACTACTGAAGAGTTTAAACTAGAAAAACAACTCTCTTTATAACTCTTCTCACATCTTACAGGCCTTTGCTGCATCCTGTCCTTCCTCATCACCTCAGAACACTCCTCTTGCTCTCTTTCTACATGTTACACCAGGCCCACACCCACAGCTGTTTACACTCTACATTACAAGTTGGGATTGCATGTGACAGAGTGCTTTGGTCTCTTTCTTTCTGAATTTGGGTAACCTCATGTAATATCATACTTTCTGAGTCCATATATTTTCCTATAAATTTTAACTTTTCTTTAATGCTGAAATATTATTTGATTTTGTATGTATTCCACGTATCCATTTTTCATTCATCAGTTGATGGGCACCCAGGTCAGGTCCATTTCTTTCTATTGTAAATGGGGCAGCAATAAACATGGATGTATAAGACTCTCTGTGGTAGGATGTGTTCTCTCCACATATGTCCAGGAGTTGCCAAGTCACATAGTAGGTATAATTTGGAATTTGTTTGAAGAACCTCCATAGTTTGTACTCCCAGCAGCAGTGAAAAAGGATCACTATTTTTGTACATGGTTCTAACATCTATTGTCATATTCCTTCCTGACAGCCATTCTGACCAGATTTAACAAGAGCCAGCTCATGTTTATATATACTTTATTTATATATACTTTATGCATGCAATAGAATTATAAGAAGGCCTTGATCAAAGTTTTGGTACCAAAAAAGAAAACAAAAAACATGTTGACCATGCAATGTTTTCCAGACTGTCATTGCTCTATAGTAAAATCCAAACAAGTAAAAAGTTTTCTTTCATTTTTCAAGAGAAAATGAGGGTATGAAAGAGGATTATGAGAATCTGTAGGACTCCAGGAATCAGGAACAGGCCTAAGAGGCTGATGGCCTAGAAATAATTTCCTTGCAGGGTATGGTATCTTTAGCTCCACATTAGGAGCTAAAGGAGCTAAAGGAGCCACAGGGCAGGGAGATTATTACAAGCTCCAGACAAGAACAGTTCACACAGTGAGAGCCAGGCCAGGCAGGGGGAGTAGTGACATTTTGTCTCAAAACACAAAATACAAAGATGAGAAGAAAAGCATTTCCTTAGAGACTACTGGAAGGACCTGGAATAGGGACCATAATGTTAGGAGGGGTCTCCTAGTGATCAGTTAGGAAAACAACTGCCCAGGCACACAGCAGACAACTGAGATTTTGATAGCTAACCAAAGACAGGATACTTAGAAATGTTTATTATATTTCATGAACTGTCTACATTTCAGTGAGAAAAGAAAAACTGGCCAATGTGAGCCCTGGACCTTGCTATGCCACCTGCCCAAGAGACTGGATTGGATTTGGAAGTAAATGTTTTTACTTTTCTGAAGATACAAGAAACTGGACATCCAGCCAGTCTTCCTGCATAGCACGAGAGGCCCATCTAGCTCTATTTGAGAGCCTGGAAGAACTGGTAAGAAATGGTCAGGACTTGGCTTGTTGTTTGTCCTATTGAATATGTACTGCCTTGAGATAGAGATCTTACATGAAGAAGGATCCCAACCCAGGTATCGGGGGATTTGGAGACATGTTAATGTGTGCTATTTGCTGATGTTATTGCTGCTGACTGGAACACTGAGATATTCCAGGGACATTCAGCCATGTGGTATTCACACTCAAGCTGTAAGGTCAAACATACACTCTACTGAGATACCCAATAGTCAAGTAAGTCTTCATCCAAGCTGGCAGGTATTGAATACTGAAGGTGACAAATGTTAATAACTATAGGGACAGACTTAACAAGGGACTTTCCCAGCCACAGTGGGATGGACAATCATCAGTGTACTTTGGATTATGGATAAAAATGCACCCACTGAGACCCAAGGGCTATTATGGCTCCAAAGTTGATGGCCCTCCATTACACCCTGCTGCCTTCTCTAAAGGAGGCTGAAAGGCAGACCCAGGGGTCATCTGAAGCTGATGGACAAATGTAATCACTTTCAATTTTATGACAGAGTTTCCTGAAGAGATACAAGGGGGATTCTGACCACTGGATTGGCCTGCACAGAGAGTCACCACAACACCCTTGGAGGTGGACAGACAACACTGAGTATAACAGCTTGTACGTTTGTAAACCACTTTTCCTTCTACTGTGTTCATGTGCTGTGTTTGTGTGAGTTATGATTATAGGAGAGGAAAGCCTGAGCCATGTGGAGCCAACAGTACCGGAAAGGTAGAAAACCAAACCAACTAAACCCTTAGATTGGAGGAGAGCTTCAGAGGTAGGGTGTGTGCTTACAGCAAGAGCCAATCCCCAGCAAACTCCACATTCCTATAAATTTAAATCCTTTAGATGCTCTCCCATTTATGGGTCATCATTTTCAAAGCATTTACTTAATGTGATTTCATTCAAAATCTTTAGCATGACGATAACATCTGGGGTAGATGTTCTCTGCTCCATCACCAATTGAAAACTTTTCCTTGATGATGAACACCCTTGTGAGAGATAGACAGAACCTAGGATGGGCAGTGGGGGCTCTGAAGCCCCAGGAAGCCACTGCAGAACTGCTGGGGTAGAACATATCAGACAGCTGTTTGCACAGCTCTAACTGTTCACAGAAACAGAGATTCCAGGGACATTGGGAACCTCCTCTGAAGTCTCATCATCAAAAAGTGCTGAGGCGGGTCTTGAATGTGAGCATAGCTACCCATTTCAAATGGAGCCATTTCACTGGAAGAGCAAAGCACAGACCCAGTCACATGCACTATTACAGACCTTTCAGAAATGTGTTAAGAAGTGGAATTTCACACATGTGTAAAATACTTCAGGACAGAATTGAAAATCACCCTTGTGAGTCCATCCATGGCAGCAGTTCATCTGAACATGACATCAAGCACCATCAAATGCCGTATATACACTTTACAGAGTCAATATGGAAGAATAACGAAGATGTGGTGTTCAAATTGAACCCTTAGAATGTAAATATCCTAGGTCTAACTAATATAGGTGATTCCCCATGGGCTCTGTCTTTCTTTGATTCTTATTAAAAGTAAGCAGCGGAGATGGTCAAGATTTTATTGCTGGATTAAATCAGTGTCAGCCTGTGACAAAATTTTGTTTCTTTATTGTTCTAGGGTTCTTATCCGAGGAAGAAGAGAACATGCCTACCTGACTGACACTGGGATCAGCAGTAGCAGGGACTACACATACAGGAAGTGGATTTGTAGTAACCATAAAGCTATTCTTTGCAAGGGTCAGTGATTTTAAAACCAGGGTAGGACATATGCCAAAACATGCCTGAGAAACAGATGCCCTGTGATCTGTTTTAAGGGGGATGTCCTTCTGTATATGTTTCTCTTATTGGTTGATGAATAAAATACTGATTGACCAGGCAGAAAGTATAAGAAGGTCTACGAGAGGAAGGAGAAGAGAGAGGGGTGGCATGTAGCTGGCAAAGGAGTAACAGGTCCAGCATGTGACAATACATAGATTAATAGTTATGGATTAATAATTAAGACAGTTATCCAATAAGAAGCCCTAGCTATCAGGTAACCATTTAATAATCAATATAAGTCTTTGTGTGTTTATTTGGGGCTAAAGCACCAGCAGCAGGACCTGGCCCGAAATAAAAAATTCCTGCATGGTCAATACACTTTCACAAAATTCAACAACCAACATGAAGTAATATCTAGACAGAATTAAAACCAATACTCTGTGATTAATACATCATAAACACTGTCAAAATATTTTTATACTTACTTCTCTGTGTTTGTATTATCATTTCAGTGGACTAAAAGCTTGGTCCAAGCAAATTTATTTTTGCTTTCTTAATTCAACCTTCTTGTGACTTTCTTAAAAGAATATGCCATTTGAAATTTATTCTTTATTAGGTTTATTTCAGACCAGGAGACAGTTAATTACTGAACCTCTTTAAGAACATTTGTTGCCAAATTTTGCAATCATTTACACGATGTTGGGTTTTAAAAACAAAATAATTTAATTTTTGACATGTGCTATACTGTACTGATGAGTCCTAAAAAGAACGAAATAACAGATCAAAAACATATTCAGTCAACTCTGTCTTCTTACTTTATTGACATAGGGACTAAGCCTAATGACCTGAGTTTGACTTGGACCCACATGGTGGAAGGAGAAAACCAAACCCAGCAAATTGTCCTTTGACCTCCAAACTTATGGGGTACACATACACCCATACAAATAAATAATTAAATGTAATAAAAAATTTAAGTTCAATTTTTATAGACACTATGTCATTGATGATTTGTTTTTTTGTCATTGCCATTTTTTGCTTTTGTTTTTTGAGACAGTATCTCACTATGTAGCTCTGGCTAGCCTGGCATTTACTACACTGGCCTCAAACTCACAGAGGTCTGCCTGACTCTGCCTCTCCAGTGCTTTGATTAAAGTTATGAGCCACTGTGTCAGGCAATAACTATGCCTGTTTTGAGTCTATATTTTTATTATTAGATAAATGCAAGTATATCTCATTCAGGAAAATACCTTTCTCAATGTTCTTCTGCTCCTACTTCTTTAGACATTTTTTTGCTTTGCAATCCAATTTCTTTACAGTAAACTAATAGAAAGTTCCTGTGTGTAATTCACTTCTGTATTCTCAGAGAACAGCACAGTGTGTCAAACACACGAGTGTTCAAGTCATGTGTGTAAGCAAAGTAGGTTCTCGTGATAGTGAGATTTCTCTATTGTGTTGTACTCAATATAATTCTGTTATAATTCTGTGCAAAGAATTCCTACAAAACTTCAGACTAATAAACAACTTTATGACATTAAACTGTGTGGTTGTCGTGTGACAGACCTTCCTGGGGTGATTGAGCACACCCATATCTATTCACTTACTATGGGGGATGGGGGGGGGCATGGCAGACCAGAGTACAAATATCAAACTCCAACTTGTTGAACTTAGAGTTTTATTTACCGAAATATGAGTAAGGAATGGGGGTTTTCATACAAGCTCAGAACTGACACAAAGATGCTACATCACCAAAGTCCACTCCAGCATGAATGATCACTGACCAAAACTGGAATCCTGGAACATAATGAACACCAGTTTCCGGCACCTCATTGGGTAAGAGAGTGTCTGTCTTAGTTGCTTTTCTTTTGCTGTGGAGAGACACCATGACTATGGCAACTTATGGAAGACTGTTTGTTGCAAGCTTGCCTAAAATTTCAGATGGTGGGAAGCATGGCATCAGGCAGGCAGGCAGGCATGGTGTTAGAGCAGAGGTTGGGAGCTTCCATGTTGAGACAACAACCAAAAGGCAAAAAGAGAGCACGATGTGGGGATGGTGTGGGCTTTTGGAACACAAAAGCCATTGACACAACTACTGAAATGAGGCCACACATCCTCCAACAAGACCACATCTCCTCTAACATGGCCATCCCTCTTAATTCTCCCCAAACCAATGGTAGATCAAGCATTCAAATACATGAACCCATGGGAGCCACGCCCATTCAAGTCACCAGTGTCCTTTCCTGGGGATCAGTTGGTCTCTGCCTCTTCTAGACAATGCTGCTGGTCCCTGCTTCTTCCAGGCAGCTGTACTCTTCTGAGAGTGACACTGGGCAGTCACTTGCTGCATAAATATTCAGGGGGGAGGAAGGACCTCGTGAATCTGGTCAATTTGAGGGACTTCCTCAAGCTATTTTGAGTGGTTTGACTTTTTGTTTTCCTAACTTCCATTCAAAGTTGGAATATTCTCAGAGGAAACTGCAACACTCCAAGATGACTCACAGAAGGAATTTGATTGACATTGTGACTCTGAATGATGTAATCTTCATGTACAAACTGGCTTCTAAATCACACACCAAGAAAATTATATTCTCCTATTTGTAATCTAGTACCTTGACAAATTTTGTAGCCCCTGTGGCTGGGGTTCTTCATATGCAAAATGGACCAAAGGAGGCAGCATTACAGGCTTATCCGTGACTTTGCCTCACCAGAATCAGTATATCTGCAAGGCCTACTTCACCCCCTATTTCGTTATAGAGCTGAAAATGAAAAAAGAACAGCAATAGTCTTCACTACATTGTAGCCTCTTAGTGACACTGCTGCCTTCCACAGGGAACAGGTATTCAAACCATCTTCTCATAGTCACTGGAATTCGCCACTAATTGAAGGAATTAATAGTTGAGTTTTGCTGTTTTTTTAGCATGGTGATTAACAGTGTGTATGCTTTTTCCTTTGGGTGGGGTTGAGGGAGAACTTTTCCTTGCCTTAATGGTCTCTAGAGACTACCTGTTTTCCATGGGTCTTTCTTAAGGGTCAACAGCATAGCATCTTTAACTTTTTCTCTGATGTCCTGAAACACTCTTCTCTGGTCCATGAAAAAGGAATAAGAAGCTAAATAATAGACTGACAGGGTTTTTTTTTTTCTTTTTTCTCTCTCTCAAAAGAAATTGCACCTACAATGTATTTAAAAACCTAAGGGTAGGGAGTAGAGAAAGGGCTCACAGATTAAGAGAATTTGTTGCTCTTGAAATTGATTAGAACATGCTGTCCTAGAGGTATAACTGTGAGTTTGGCAGTGCTGTGAGTGCTGGAATCCTTATACATTAATTCCCATTTGACAGTTGCTAGTGTATGAAAGCACAAATTATTTTCCACACTGACATTGTGCCCTGCAGCACTTTAAATGCATTCTTAATATTTAGGGCCATTTAATAGACTCCTTAGGACTTTATATACAATTATATCCATATTGTCTGAATACCAACACTTTTATCTCTCTGAGGAATGGCTGTTATTTCATTTTCTTGCCCTATTGTTCTGGCCAGGACCTCTAGAGTCACACTAGAAAGGTTAACGGACATCATTACCTTGCTCTGGGTCACTGGGGAGAGGGCATTCATGCTGGCTGTGGTTGGACTTTTGTTTGGGTTTATCATAAGTACCTCTTGTCAGGGTGAAAAAATTCCTTCAATTCCTAACGTGCTGAGAGTTCTTTCTGTGAATTTACATTGAAGCTCGAACGTGCATCTAATGGTTTTACTGAACTGTTTCTCTTTTATTCTCTTATTCAGTTAATATATTAAATTATATTTAGTTAGTTCATTATAGTTAGAAAGAAAGATGGATGATAGATAAGAAAGAAAGACAGATACATAGTGTTCAGTCCCAGTCCCCACAGGGTCTCTGTGAGTTGCTTGTCAGCAAATAACCACAGGTGCATCCTGTTTTGTAGTCTTGGCTCAGCAGCCCTGACCTTGTCCCACTGCACAAACAACCTGATGTCTTTCATTTAAATCTCCAGGCTTTCACCCGCTACATTAGCCTTGCTCGCGGTGCAGGTGCCACAAGTGGAGGTTCCATCGAGATTGAAAAGAAAGAAGACCCTGCGAGATTGCCCTCGGAGGCTGGCCAGCAGATAAGGACTTATGAGGGTGAATTGGAAATGGGTACCTCAGCTTCTAAGGCTGTATTGATAGAACAATTAGTAGAATTGTTAAAGAAACAAGGTACCGGTATTCAGCAAAAGACAGATTCACAGGGGAAAAGTACAACCTCTAAAGGTTTACAATGTGTTTAAAAACATATGTAGGCTTGTGAGAGAAAATAAACAGGATAAAGTTATTAAAAGGAAGAGAGGGGGGCCAGGTGGTGGTAGCACACGCCTTTAATCACAGCACTCGGGAGGCAGAGGCAAGCAGATTTCTGTGATTTCAAGAGATGTAGCATACAGAGTGAGTTCAAGGGCAGCCAAAGTTACACAGAGAAAACCTGTATCATAAAAGGGAAAAATAAAAGTAAAAGAAATAGAGTAATAAAAAGCCACGTAAAAATGAAAAGTACAAAGAGAGTTTGGATACCGTATGCTATTGTGTTGTCTTTGAATTGTTTTTGATTGCTAAGGAAGGAACAACTGCACTAGACAAGCCCAGGCTCAATTTGTCACTTGAGGGCCACAGAGAATCCTTCAGCTCAACTATGGTTGAGCCTACAGAAAAATTAGGCAGCCAATGATGGTGAGACCAAGGGGATGCCAGTCAACCTAAGACAGGAGGGTCATGAAGCCTGGGTGATTTCTCCATTGATGGGTAAGGTTGGGGTCAATGTCCTGGTCACCTAAGACAGGTAATAATTTATATATAAAGGAGGGGGAGATGTTGGGCCACAGCCTCGACGGGCTCTCCTTGAGTTTCTTGTCAGCCAATAACACCACAGTTGCATCCTGTGTTCTAGTCCTGGATTACAGCCCCAGCCTTGCCCCACTGGCATCAACCTCAACCTGTGAAAACATGAGCTCTTACACCTGGGGTTTTTCCACTGTGCTTAAGTCTGGATATAAGTCTGCTCCCTCTCTGCAATAAACACACACACAGACACACACACACACACACACACACACACACACTTAGCACAAACAACCCGATGATTGTCTTTCATTCAAATCTCCAGGCTTTTGTCAGATACATTAGACTTGCACCACAACATAGAATAGTCACATGTAGCTCCTCTCAGCCTCAAACTCAATATTTAGTCAAGACATCCTTGAACTCCTGACTCTTCTGCCTCACCCTCCCATGCGTTAGAATCACAGTCCTGTGCCACCACACCTGGCACATTGATTTTTTTCTTTTTGTTAATACCTTGGTTCCCTAGTCTTTATGGACCAGGACTAGTCCAACTTCTTATAAAATTAAATCTATGGGTAGTTTTTGTTGTTGGTGATGGTGACCTGACCTCACCCTTTCTCTTTATTGCTTCTTAGTTCATTAACTGGAAGACTGTAGGAAAACTTGTGTTGCCCCTTCTTCTAGTCTTCTGTGAGCCAAGGACATCATTTTTGGATCAGGACCTTCTGAGAAGGGGATTCCCATCAGGGGAGTGCAAGCCAAATCTACAGATTATTGTGGGTACATTCATCATTTTCCCTAAAAGGTTCTTGAGATTGATATTATTATTCTTATATTTTTCAGGTAAAAAGCTCCAAGGAAAATGTCTCAGAATCATCTTCTCTGTGTCTGATGTCAAGCTTTACTGCTGCTATGTAGTGATCATGGTCCTCACTGTAGCTGTAATTGCACTTACTGTTGCTATGTCATTGTTAGGTGAGTGACTTATTATCGAAATGATGTGGCATTATGTTCAACTCATTCCCCATTCATGGTTTATGTTCCTTTCTCTCTACCAATGACAGTGGCAGTCAGGAGACCTACCAGATAACTTAAGGTAACTCGTGTCACTCAAGGATAGCTCGGTGAGACATGTCAGGTATTTAACGAAAAATTCATAGAAATAAAAGACTTTGTATCATTAAAGTTTGTGTGATTGTTGTGTGACAGAGTTTCCTGGGAGTGTGCAACACACACACACACACACACACACACACACACACACACACACACACCTACTCAACTAAAATATGAAGCCCATTATGACAGACCAAGTACAAGAATCACAAAAGTGCCACTGGTGAACAGATGAGTCAAATTGGAGTTACTCGCCATAATATGAGTGAGAGGTTACCTACACAAGCAGAAGTGATTCAAAGACAGTTGCATCATCAAAGTCCATCCCAACATGAGTGAAAGCTCACAAGAGCTGGAACCCTGAGACACACTGCACAGCTCACAGGTGGCTCAACTGGTTACAGAGTGTCTGTCTTAGTTACTTTGCTTTTGCTGTGAAGACACCATGACCAAAGCAACTTATAGAAGAGAGCTTACTGGGAAGTAGTTTATAGGTTTTGAGGATCAGTACCTGACCACCGTGTTGGGGAGCATGGAAGCAGTCGTGTGGCACGGTAATGGAGCAGAAGCTGAGAGCTTTTATATTTAGAAAACAACCACAATGCAGAAAGAGCTACCTTGGAGATGGTGTGCGCTTTTGAAACCTTCAACTAGTGACATACCTCCTCCAACAAGGCCTCACTTCCTCCACTAAGTTATACCTCTTCTTTAAAATGTCATACTTCTTAATCCCTCCAAAACAGTTCCAATATCTGTGGACCAAGCATTCAAATATATGAGGCCATGGCAACCATTCTCATGCAAACCACCATAGTGTCCTTTGCTGGTGGTACAGCTGGTCTATGTGACTTCCAGACAATTTTGCTTGTCTCTGCTTGCTCCAGGCAGCTGGACTTGTCTGATTGTGACTCTCAGAAGACATTACTACATATACACTCTTGGGGAGGGAGAGGCTTCATTAATCTGTTAAGTTTCTGGGGCTTCCTAAAGCTATTTTTAGTTATTTGCTTCCTGTCTTCCCAGCTACCCTATAGGATGGAATGTTTCTCAGAGGAAATTGCAACACTACAATATTAATTCATTAAAGGAATCTGATTGATTATATGACTTTCCTGATTAATATTCATGTAAAAACTGACTTCTAAATCACAAGAAAGTTTAGATTACCCTATTAAGCTAATACCTTGATAAATTTTGTAGTCCCAGTCACAGGGTTTCTTCATATGCAAAATGGATCTAAGGATGGCAGTTCTACTAGCAAGCTTATCCGTGAATATATTTTACTAATCACAGAAATGTGAAATGTGTTTGCCTTCCAATAATGCATGATGGAGATGAAGATTAAAAGAATAGCCTTCCCTAGACTATAACCTCTGAGTGACCCTGCTGGAACCTACAGGTGACAGCTGTTTGCACCATCTTCTCATAGTCACTAGCTTTACCGTTATTGAATGGAATTTGAATTTTGCTGTTTTCCTGGCTAGTAATAAACAGGTTGTCTCTATGGGGTGGCAGCAATGAACCCCAGTGCCCAGCTAGCCCCATGGTCACAGTGCTCCCTACGCCAGCATTGTTTAGATGCAGTCACTGGATACATTTCAGGAGACATAGAAAGCCATAATGTAAGTTTCATAGACTAAGTCTAATGGTACACAACATTCATTTCAACACCAAGAGAGAAGCAGGAAGACCTCTGTGATTTTTTTTAGGCTACCTTGGTCTACATATGGAATTCCAGACCAGATGGGGCTACATATACATACTCTGTCTCCAAAATATAAACCACAGCAACAAAAGAAACTCAATTTTTATTAGTGCTTTTACTGAAAAGCAAAATGCTAGAGTCTTAGGGTTACTATTGCTGTAATGAAACAACTTTAACGAAAGTACTTGGGGAGGAAAGGATATATTTGGCTTATATTTCCATATCACTGTTCAGCCAATTTCTCCAAAAATCCAAAGTCTTTTAAAATTCAAAGTCTCAATTGTGGGCTGCTGTAAAATCAAAACTAAATTAAATATTTTCTTACTTCATGGGGGAAGAACATGTCACAGTCACAATCTGAACAAAGCAAAATCAAACCCCCAAAGTTTAAATAACTCAATGTCCAATTACCTGGGATTCATCCATGGTCTTCTGGGTTCCTCCAAGGAGCTGGTTCACTTCTCCAGCTCTGCTCTCTGCGACCAACATAGCTTGTACTCAACTCCACTGCAGCTGCTGTTCTGGGTGGTCATCCAGTGGTACTGACATCTCAGTGGTACTAGGTCTCTTTCTGTGATTTGGCTGAGCCTTCACCAACAGCCTTTTCTGGATTCTCCTCAAGGATGCCATACAATGCGAAGCCTCAGTTATCTCGATTACCTCTTCATGCCTTCAAAACCAGTACCACCTGGGTGACTCTAACACTACCAAGTTCAGCTGCCAGAATGAGTTACAGCCTTAGCCACTTCTGGAACACGGCCTCTGCGTGCTGGCGCTGAGGAAAAACTTCCCAGAAGATATTACCTCAATGATGCCTGTTCCTTCTTAATCACAGCTGATTCTCCAGCCCAAGCTGACCAGCAACCATTACCCCAGCAAAGTAATCACTTTAGTGGTTCTGGTATCGTGTTCATCACAGTCAATTTTCCTACCCCAGATAATAAGAACCACAGATGCTTAACTCAAAATGGCTCTGTAGAGTCTTTGCCTCCCTCTGAAACTACACAAGACAGGCTTCCGTCATCTACACTGCTCCCGACATTTCTATCTCCCAACCTCCTGCAGAACAGCTCACTAAACTCTCAATACTCAATAGCTTTTCAAGCTCTAAGCTCCAACGTCCATCTAAAATCCTACCAAAAACAATATGGTCAGCTATGTCACCGCAATACCTAACTATTCTGGTACCAACTACATGCAGTGTTATGGTTACTTTTGCTGTGAAGAATCATCATGACCAAAGCAACTTGGGGAGGGAAGGATTTTTTGGCTTACTCTTCCACATCAGTCACTATTCAGCATCAAAGGAAGTCAGGACAGAAACTCAAACAGGACAGGAACCTGAAGGCAGGAGCTGATACATAGGTCATGAATGGGTGCTATTTACTGCTTTGGGTCATCATGGCTTGATCAACTTGCTTTCTTATAGAACACAACCCAGGGATGGCACCACCTACAATGATTTGAACCCTGTTCCATCAATCACTAAGAAATCTTATGGAGGTATTTTCTCAGATGAGGTTCCCTCCTTTGATACCTCCAGCTTGTGTCAAGGTGACATAAAACTATCAGCACACCTACATGATAGGTAGGGTTTTAGTGAGGGGGTGGTAGGGGAGGATGGGAGGGAGAAGGGAACTGGGATTGTCATTTAAAACAATCCTTTTTCTAATTCAAATTTTTAAAAAATTAAAAAAAAAAAACTATCAGCACACCTACCAAGAGACTGGAGAGATGACTCATCAGTTAAAAGTACTGGCTGCCTTCTGCAGAGGACTCAGGTTTGCTTCCCATTACCCCGTGGTGGCTCACAACCATCCCTAAATCCAGTTCCAGGGAATCCAGTGCCCTCTTCTGACCTCAGCAGGCACTATAGAAAAACAAGATCTGCTTAATGGCTTGGAGTACTCAGAGAGAAGACAGAAAGCGAAGACGAGGACTTTACTCTCATGTTTACCAATTTTTGTAGCAACCAACGCATAAAAACACCAAGCACATGGAGGAGTAGAACACAGACACAATGCCAAGAGGATAATGGAAAGAGGAGAGTAACAAACTTAGTGTAAGCATTTTTTATTTAGAGGGCTGTGGGGACATGGAAGAGAGGTCCCAAGGGAGTAGAAGAGTACTTATCTTCTGATGAGATGGGAGTTTGGTTTTGCTGACTTGGCCCCTTTCAGCTGTGAGAGATGAACCCAGTTAGTGATACCCTATAGTTTAAACACCATCAGAATGGTGATCATGACCAGATAAGATCCAGCCCAGAAGGCTATAGGGCATTTAGGAATAAGATTAAGTACACTTGAGCTCCCTGGTTAAGCTCCATAGAAATAAATTGGTTTACTCTGCTATAAACTGATGGAGAAAGTAAATGAACAGGCTAACAGTAGGCAAGTAGTCATATAAGGGTGCAGACTATAGGGGAGTGAGATTACCCAGCAGGAAGAGGTATCCATACATGAGCTCAAAGGAGCTGAGAATAGAAGGAATGTGGGGAGGGGGCCACTTATCCTGTTTGGAAGAAGAGGAAGAAGATAGAACCAGTGATTTTTAATGATGGCATTATTTTTTGGCCATCTTTCCTGAAGATTTAATTCAGTAAAGGCAAAGAAGCCATGAGTCTGGGTGGAGAGGTATAGAATAGAAAGTATGCTTTAAATATAGGAAGGAGAAATGGAAGATAGATCAAATGATATGTAATAAAATCTTGTGTTAGGAACAACAAGGTAAACAGGGGAAAGTACAGTGTTAATGAGATTTTGTGTGCTATTTTGATCCCATTCTGATGGTTCTGAGACTGGCAATAAAGTTTGCTTTGAATCAGAGGGTAGAGCAGCTACTAACTGATGAAAATTAGCCACAAATTAGACATACCTTTTGGAGGTATGAGGACAGAGAGGCACAAAGGTAGTGGGGCTGGGCTAAGAGAGGGTATCAGCCCTTTAGAATTGAGGAATGAGAGAGAGAAAAAGAGGAAGAATGAAAGAGGGGCTTCACTTCACTGCTTCTCTCATCATTCAGGTTCTTACCCCAATATCTGATGCACAAGTTTTTATTTATAAAGAACAATTAGATAAATGCTTCATCTGCCCAAATTGGAGAAAAAAAAAAAAAAGTACCCCCCCCCCCCCCCCCCGCCAGCTTTGCAGTTGCT